CCTATTTGTTTACTCAATGTTTTGGATGGATACAGCATGCATGCTTTATCCAGCTTCTGACAGGTTGTTAGTAGTGTAACATGGAAGCAGGGGTCTCGAGTGGGCTGTAAAGTGCCGCCCAAGGCAAACACCTGGTTTGCCTTGAGGTGGATACGGCCCTGACTTAAGGGTTATGTTTTTATTTACAGGGGCTTTGATGCTTGGTAGCTCTGAGGAAAATATAAGTATTCTCCTTAGAGATACTTTGCATCATTTTTGTAACACAGCCGGCTAGCAGCATACAAAACTGTGAGCTGCTGCTGGCTCTGTGACTGTTACGGTTCTGCAATCACAGCGATCAGCTCTCGCTGTGATCACAGGACTGGCCACCTAATCTGCTGTTGAGGGTCTGCCTCGGGCCTCGAGGGACCCTTCAACAGCCGTAACTCAATGAGCTACTGGTCCCTTCACAAACCAGCGCTCATTGTACTGATTGATGGGATTATCCAGTCACCGGTCGTTAATGGATAATCCCATCAGTATTTTCCTAGTTGCAAAGAAATCTTGACTGTGGCAGGAAGGACTACAATGTAACAGAAGTATCACATAGCTTATAATACTGTTCTTGAATTGAAGTTTAACAAATATTTCTGATGGCCTAGGTAAACTGGAGGAAGAGCTGCAGAGGCCCAGCACCTCTCCTGGCTACAACCCACAAACAAGAGCATTAAACCAGATGGAGACCTCCCCTCCTAAAGTTACAAAGGTAGGTGAAGGAATGTGATGGTAAAAAAAAAATGGTCCTTACATGAGTTCAGAGGCTTTGTTGTGTTCCAGATGATAAACTGAAATCCTCAGTTTTGCTATATACAGAACATATTATGATTCAGACCAAGTTACATGATTGACAGTTCTAGTAATTTGGAATTGCAGGTTACTTAATAAAATCCAGGAAATGATTAAAGTGGAACTGTGGGAGACGTGTGTAAATAGACTGTTTAAGTACAAATGTGTGCTTTTTGATTTTTCTACAAGAGTTGTAATTCTGTGCAGACTTGTGATTTTTACATTGCGCTGCCACACTGTACAGATTACACACTTATTTGTCTTGACAGTATTGCTTCATGGATCACTTCTCTGCTTTTAGCTTGTTCTTAATGTGTTAGCATCAACACTTCAGTTTGGTTAGTGGGGATGTGATCCAGGAAGCTGTAAATCTGAACCAGAGGGCGTTTGCCTGGAATTCCACTTTGAGTGGAGCAGCTAAAACATAGCACTACAAATATTTCTGGACAGACTGATTCTCCTTGCCATGCTATAACTGAGCAGCTCTGAACCAAGAAGGAAACCTCAGCTGATGGTCTCCATAGGGGAGTGGGTGGACAAGGGTAGAAACATTTTTCAGGGGTGTCGGTGTTCAAGGAAATGAGGTACAGGTTTGTTGCAATTTTTAAACAGGTCTGTTCTATCACTGCTTTTATCTATAGCTGTTAAAAAGAATGCATAAAGCTGAACTTTGGGGACAGAAAAGATTACTTTAAATAAGCAATAGATGCCAAGGATATAAATTCACTTGGTGTACCAAATTCCTTTGCAAAACCAGATGTTGCCTTTTTAAAAGCAGCGATGACATCACTTGACTGCACATTGCAGAAAGCAGAGTTGTAGGTTGGACCCAGCAGGTCCTCTAACTACAGAGTGCCTGCAGTAAATGACCGAGTGGATTCGAGAACAGTCATCCTGCCCAATGAGAGCGGGCAGAAATGAACAGTCTTTATTCCAGCATGAAACAAATCCCAAACTTTTTCTGTAGTAATGTAAAGATCTGGAGTAAGTACACAGGGCACAAACCTTTAGGTAAGGATATACATGGCTCATGCATACGGAATTATGAAAATATTTGTTTGGCCAGATTTTCTTTAGCACAGACTGGCCAGTGGCTGGGTTTTAGGAGTTCTAGGAACACGCACTCTTTTAAATGACATTTTGTATTTTGTGGCTTTTGTTTCTTAAAATCACTTACTTTTTGACTACTCTATTTCTCTTTTCCAGCTTCTGCCTTCTGATTCCTTCTATTCGCTCCTGTCCTCCTCTCCCCTTGTAGTCTGACCTCTGCAGCCTCCACCCTCAGGACTTCTGTATCTCCTTGAGCAGCAGCCCAGGCAGCTTGTACAGCCTTCTCTGTATGTGACTTCTCTACATGCAGCATTATTGCAATCAGCTGTACAATCCCATTAGGTCTAGTCTATAAGATATCATGAGAATGCTCTGTTCACTGCATGCTGCTTTTCACAGGAGGTGCATTATAAGATTATGGCATGCATCATAGGGACCACATTAGTAGGTCAATGAATGCCAGGCTTGGAATATGTGGCAGTCTAAAGGTGCCCATACACCTTACAATTATCTGCAGATTTTCTGTGGTCAGATGGAAAAAGTGCAACAGATTGGCCCAGGTGGAGATTCCTCCATGCACACAGTTAAGTGTAGCTTGAGGAATCTGTTTCACCTTTTTCATCTGACCACAGAAAATCTGCAGATAATTGTAAGGTGTATGGCCAGCTTTAGAATTTCTGGATTCCAGTTAGGGTACTTTATAAGGAACATTTAGACATTTTCCTTTTAAATTTTGTTTTTTAAGAGATGGTAATTTTATAAATGTGAAAAATGCACATTGTCCATCCTCTAGAAAAAAATTCCATCAGTCCAGTGTGCCTTCAGTATTGATGTACTGGTAGTTTCTTTGCACCCCACAATCTTTGCCTCTGTTGGTTGTAGGCATAATTGGATCCAAGTGTATGCAGATGTCTATTGCCTGTCGTTACTAGCAGTACCTTGCCTATGTGCCTTAGATTATTTGCAGGGTGGGATTGAGCTGCAAGCTTCTGTGAGGTTCTAGCTATAGCCTGAGGAGGCTCTAGACTTCACAAGCAAGTAGGGAGATCATCCTTATGCAGAATGGTTACAGACTAGAGAAGCTGCAAACCGACTGGCAGTAAGTTTGGAACTTCGGACACATTTTATAACTGGCAGCTTTACTTGTAAATGTAATTTTTGCCTGACGCTTTCATCTTAAAAGGAGACCTATATAGTTGTGTGTAATTGCACCGATGGTTGTACCTTCTCAGGACATTGTACAGGTGCCATGAATGGTGGTATGGCTTCAGTTTTTTGGTCACTATTTTTGCAGCTATATCACGTTTATTTGCGGACTTTGGAAGAGCTAGTTACATGGAACTAGTGTTGACTGAAATATCCACAATCAAAGGCTTTGGTAATCATTTTGAAAGGTGCTCTGTCCATTTGGAATGTACAGTAGATCTTTATCTGCAAAATGGGGGAAGATTAGGCCAAACGTACACTAGCGGTCTTCCAGGGCATGACTGTATAACATTCAGTCACGGCCAGCAGCATAAGCTTATAGTTATAAGACTTGTCACCAACTCCATAGCCTGGCATTAAACTGTGCAATAATTGTCATGTATTGGTCACACATTCAGTATTCAGTGTAGACCTGCATTTGATTCACCCACCACTGTGCTTGGTGTTTGCTCCTTTTCGCATGTAGGTATGTCGTAACAGATTTTTATTTTTTGCACTTGCTTGTTTCAATAAACCAACAGAATAGAACTGTTGGGATTTCTTTCTTTTAAGCCTTTATCTCCTTATTTTTGCTATCCTTTCCTCCATTCCTTTTTTCTTCCAGTAGCCATTTCTACTCTGTTTGATATGGATGGATTGTTGCATGCTCTTACAGCTGCACATCTGAAAAGTTTGTCTCAAATATTTATTTGTGTTCTGAAATATTTATTTGTGTTCTGAACAGAAGTTTCAGCTGCCAGCGCGTGAGGTCTGTTTTGGGTGTCAGAAGACTGTCTACCCCATGGAGCGGCTCTTTGCCAACCAACAAGTGTATCATAACGGCTGCTTCCGCTGCCATCACTGTTCCACCAAGCTCAGGTACTTGCCACTGTGATGAGTGTTGCTGGCGGTGACTTGCTTTGTACATAAATGCCGAGCCATATGTATGAAATGAGGTCTTGTACAGAAGGCTAAAGAGATATGTATTGGTATTCATTGAGATTCTTTAGAAAGCAGAAAACACTGTATACATTTTTAAGAATATCAATGACCACAAAATCCATATATGAAATGGACCATTTACCAAATGTGTGCATTAGAAGTAAACTTTTGAGACATTAATGTAGGCTGACCATTGTTGACTCTTCCTTTTGAAACCAATTAGTTCTCTGGATGTCAGTCTGATATATTGACTTGAGCAAGGAAGTAGTTCTGACTCCTTATCTGATACTGATTTACAGAATACTTGTTCAGGACTGTGTCTGACTGAAACATCATGAATACAGGCAAAGATGGGCATCTAGCATTTTCAGCAGGAGACCAGCAATGACAGCCCCATGTTTCTCTCTGCAGTCAATATAATTAAGTCAAGACAATTCTGTCCTTGAAAATCGCAAAACTTTTTCATGAGTGCCACTGGATAGGTTAGACTTGGTTTTTTTAGCGGTTTATCTGGAAATTGGATAGTTTTTAAAAACTTTTAAGGATTAAGGACAAAAAGTAATAACTATGGCATACCAGTCCATGAATGCCATGGCAGCATTTGGTTGTTTTTTGGGCAAGAACACTTTTTAGCAAGTACAGAATGGCTGTTCTTTCCAATTTTTAGTTTTTTCTTTTTTTTTTTTTTAGGTAAACTGCAAAATCTCATGTAATGGATAATTGTAATAGTAGACCTGGTTAACTGTAAAAATCAGTACAATTCTATTTGGACTTCATAATTTGAGGCAGAGTTTTTACAGTTATCTCAATCACACCAAGGACTTTCTAACTATCATAATGGTTACTTTTGATGCTACTATACAGAGTCTCCCAAGGATATGATGGGATAACTTCATTTGTATGCATAAAAACGTCCGGCTTGGATTGCTTGCAAGGTTGATTGCTTTAGTTACATTGAAATAGCTACAACTATCAAAGATCAGGCATTTTGCTACAATAATTAAAGTATAACTTGTCTAGCAGCACAGATAAGGGATGGGTTTTGGAATTTATTTAGTATTGGATTAATCTTGTTAAAGGAAGGGTGTTTATTTTATATATGGTTATTGTGGTCCTTGAGTGTCTTTAATATTTTTTATATGGTGTCTGTGTTGGGTTTTTTTTTTCTAAATATTGTTGGGGCCTACGTAATCAATTTTAAGTCTAGTCAGATCAGCCTTCATTTTAATCAGTTGATTGATCTACTACCAAATTTTTGACAAACTTTTACAATACAATCATACAAGCTTCTTCAGGTTTGTTATATGATGACTGCCGTGTGTGGTGGTGGTGTGTTTTTTTTTTTTTTTTTTTTAATTGTGAAATGATCTTTTCAGAATTGTAATTTCCTCTGCAGCTTTTGATTTTTGTGTGGAGTGTTTCGGTCCCCCTCCATCACAAATGATGGTGCAAAGCCTGCATCTTACATGGTGGCCAAAGGATGTTGGTAAAGGACCAAGAGCTTAAACCACAAAGCACAGCATGCGTGTTATTTCACTTGACAGTTACGCTAAAGCCACTTGCAATGCTTGTGTGTTGAAAATTCACCAGCAAGTACAAGGCTTATTTTACTTTAGTAATTGCCAATGCATCACTTATTTTCAGACTTGCACTGTCCTGGTTGCTCTGAACAGAGCAGCCATCTAAAGGTTATGGGCAGGGCATGCTGGGTAACTTTAGCTATGTGCGGTACATTAGTAGATTTGCTCTGGGACCGCTGTTTTATAGTTAAAGCGGAACACAGTCTGTGTAAAGTTGAGATTTATACAAACACATTGACACTTTCTATTAATGTACATGCATGCACACTTGTAAATCTGTGTTGGCACAATATGCCATCTTGCATTCTATTTATTTACTATCTGAATGGAAGTGAAGGAGGTGCTGCAGTCTGAGGGACATGATATAATCTGTCTCACGGGAAGTGTTCTGCAAGTTATTTTTCTTTTAATATGGTTCTAGCACCATCAAATCCCTCTCCTGCTTTTATCAGTCACTTATTACTGGTTTAGTTTAATGGAGCTGTTCTTCAAATGAAAAATGGGGGAACATTGGTCAGTGCAGTGATTGTCTCTGCCCCTTCTGCAAGTGTAAACAAAAAAAAATCGACACTGGTATTAATATTAAGAACCCCTGCATCCTATTTAAACAGATTGTTGACATCCAGGACACTCGACACTTGTCTTCTACAGGCTGCCAAAATATCCATAGCAAGGTCCTGGAAATATTCAGTGGTGAATGTCGCAACTATGAGAATAAAACCTTCCTGGATCATGCTTCACAAAAAACTGTCCAGTATTTTATAGTACAAATAGATACGGTTGAGAGTACCCAAAATCCTTGTCCAAGCTTGGCATCATGGTGTGGCTGGGGTAGATCTTGTACCATGGGGAAAGTCTTTTGGTGGGGTTTTTTTTGCCCATAGTATATTTTTACATAACCAGGTGACTTGTCAGGACTCTGCTCCTGATCTCAGCTACTCCTGCTCCATTTGTTGGTTTTCTATTGACCTATCTTTACTGTACACTTTTTTGTATACAGTACTGGCCTTTTTATAACTAAAGTTAAATATATTATGTTTTTTTTTTTTTTTTTTTTTCCTTTCTCTCCTCTGAAAACATTACACTATTAAAATAGAAAAACATAACTTCCCAAGGGGTCGTTGTGTAAAGCTGTAACCTATTTTCAGCTGTGCAGACAGATATTGAGACCTGAGACTAGACAGTTCTCAAAAAATTGTCTGATTCTGGGTGCTGCCACCTTGCATGTGATGTCACCAACGGCCTCAAGTTGGTGATACAGGGATCACATTTTGTCTGTTTCCTGCTGAAATTAGATCTGTGGCTGACCCTGGTAGGTGGGGAATTGGCACCGGAACCCTGATTGCAACCTATCGGCTACAGTCACTGTTCAGGTATTCAGACAGCCACATTCACCATGTCAGAATACAGTAGCTGGCAGGGGGGGGATTCCGCTATCATGCTCTCTAGCATGGATGGGGGAATCTATTGATTTTTCTCATTCAGCAGTGGTGTTGGATAAGAAAATGCTAGTGTGTGTAGCTAGCTTCAGAGGTGTCATTAAGGTGACATTAATGACACCCCCCCCACCCCCCCTTTGCTGTCTGCTACATTAAAGGTTAATTAGGGAGGTGAAGGGAGGAGAGGAAGACTTTGGCTAACTCAAAGTAATTGGACAATTTTAGAAGCAGAATGTGCTATGATGAGCAGGGGGTAGGTGGCTCTGCGAGGAGATTTGACTAGTTAATTTCTTGCAAGGTGCATTGCAAGAGAATCAAAAAATTTGTGCAATGGAAACCCAGTGCAAGTAAGCATTTTAAAATACTTGGAGTTTTGGTTTTTTTAACTGCAATTTTTTAAGTTGGTGACCGTGATCCTAGGTCTTATGATGCCGGGATATATTTGGAATATCTAGGAAACCTTTTGAGAAATGAAACCATTCTGTAAGCTTGCATGAACGGTTTTTAATTTTGAAAGTTTATGCTCTTTACCTTTTTGTAAGTTGCATGCTTTTGTTTAGTATTGCTAGACGCTAAATGCTGTCTGGCTAATGGAAACCACTGAGTTGACCTAATCTGTTTTTGCTTTTTCTTCCTGAACAGTCTTGGCAATTATGCCTCTCTACATGGAAATGCTTATTGCAAGCCTCACTTCAACCAACTGTTCAAATCTAAGGGAAACTACGATGAAGGTTTTGGGCACAAACCTCATAAAGATCTGTGGGAGGGCAAGAAAGATGTCACCGAAAATCAAGACGATGTTATCAAAGCCACAGAGGCCAATGCAGAACCCAGCAGTCCAGTTGTCGAAGATGCTCCTATTGCAAAGGTTGGTGTTCTGGCAGCATCCATGGAAGCCAAAACCACTAATGCTTCATTTGAGCGGGAAAAACAGGTAGAAACAAAGAAGCTGAGATTTGCTTGGCCACCTCCTGCTGAATCCACCAACTCGGCAAATGCCCTTGAGGAAAACCTTAAAGTCTTCAAACCTAAATGGCCACCAAGTGATGAAATTCTAAAACCTGAAAGTGAGGAAGACACGGATTTGAAGAAGCTAAGAAGAAGTTCGTCTCTAAAAGAACGAAGCCGCCCATTCACACTAAGTGTGGCAAAGCCGGTGGTCACTGGCACCACAAAACCGCCTCAATCTCCTGTACTGAGAAAGCGCAACTCCTATCTAAGGGATGATTCTGAAGATGAAACTGAAGAAAAGAAATCTGTAACTATGAAAATTAAGTCCCCACAAGTCGAGCTTGAGACCAGCGAAGACAAGTTACCTATTGAAACTGAAGACAAGGAAGAATCCCCGACCAGATCAAATGAGCAGAGCTTCTTAGAAAATGGGGAAATTTCTGAAGCGGAGGTTTCTGAACAGCAACTCTCCCCTGAGGAATCCACCCATTCTAAACATTCAAGTACAGAGGATCTGGTCATGACCAAGGATATATCTCCAGCACAGAACCGCAAGTCTCAAGATATTGGCTACTGGGAAGGCGAAGATGTGGAAGAACTAAGTGTAGAAGAACAGATCAAGAGAAATCGTTATTATGATAATGATGATAATGATGAAGATGATTGATACTGCACCTTTCACAAGGTTTCAATGCTGTATGTGGATCAGCCTTAAATTGATAGCTACCCCAGTCAAAGTGACCCTCTGTATGTAGTGTAAAATTGTTCCTTTTTAAAACCCTCTTGATGTTTTAAAGTCCACCGTATGTATTATGAATGTTAAAAAAAAAATCATCTTTTGGCAGGAAAAAAATTAAGTTTTATAGCAATGCACCATAAAAGTTCTTTAACTCAAGTTTATACATTTTAACTTCCAAAGTTTGCCATAGACCAAAAACAGCTTGGTCTTGTTGGGTGCTTGCTGTACAGGCTGGTGGCCGTGACATTGTGTAGCACTTTCTAAGAACTATAAATGTATCACTTTCTGGAAATCCTGCCTTCATGATGGATATTTACCTGCTGCCATATATGCATATACTACCAAATGAGTGAAGTTAAACCATGCTTTTACTGACTTCTCTCATGCCTGTCCTCTAGCTATCCCATCTGTCAGTACCCAGAATGAAGGTTGTAAATTCTTAATTTCCCCTTCTCTCATGTCATAGCTCCCAAGCAATCCCTACATAGCAGCTTGGTAAACTCCGACTGGAAATCTGATAATTGTTTTTTTTTTGGGGGGGGGGGGGGATAAGTCTTTATAAATCATATTGCATCATTCCTCCTTTTTTTTTTTTTTTTACTTTTTTGGAACCTTTTTTATTTTTCTGTTCACTGGCCCTTTAAGGAAAAGCAGGTGAAGGCAGTGATTTTAATAGATTCAGTCAATGTTTATTTCATACAATCTTGCATTTGCTAGGGAACTGTGAGAGGAAGCAATAGATTTCGACTTCTATGCACAGGTACTGTTAGGTGGAATATCAAAAAGTGGCAGGAATCACTTTAATGTTTGCCCCTGTTTTTAAATTCCCCTTATAAATGGATCCATCAATTTGGAATAACATTCTCCCCATAGTAGTGGCTCCAAATAGAGCCATGGAAGGCGGTGACTTCCCTAAACATCTCCAGTGTTTTCACTGAGCAGTGATTTCACAATGATTGAACTCCTAATACAATTGGGAGAGTTCAGTTTCCTCAGTGGATAGCTAGTCATTCTGCAGCTGGTTTGGTTAAGGCACAGGATGCTACAGTTCACTATATTGCAAAGCACAAAAGGTGAACTCGTGGCAAACAGACATGCAACTGCATTTTTTTTGTTTTTTTGTTAGCGGATGAAGTCCAGAAACGAACACTAGCAACCTCCTCAAACGTCCGTAGTTTGTGAAGATCTGGAACATGAATTTGCTGATATTCACACTTTTCTGTATCCTGGCATGCTTCTTTCAAGTCTATGGCAGTTTTGTATCTGTACTATATTTGTGAAATGTGCAGCAGCTAAATATTTCAAGTCTTCAATTTGCACATTAAAGTGATAACCATGGCAACCATATATGTGAGTATTAGGGAATCAGAAAGTTTTAGAATGATTTCATGTATGATCAGAAAGTTGGGTGTGTTCACCTGTTCTATTGTGGCATGGCGCTACAGGTTGAGTATCTTGGCGATAGTCCTACAGAATATGGACCATTGATTTTGCACGACTTTCTTTAGTATACATTTTTTCTTTTTTGCTATGGCGATTTTTTTTTTTTTTTCTTCCTATTAACGTTTTTACCTGGAAATGGTATGTTCTAGATTTTCTTCTATTATCAAGCTCTCAATACACTAGTGTTTTCAGGGGCATTGTATTCTGTTATGTTTCTGGAAAACTGTACATAATTTTAAAAACCAGAATGCAGACCAAAGCCATGGTACGTTGGAGTCTTTGGCTCTAGTTGGGTATTTTCAGCCTTCAACTCTCCATGAGGTCAGAAACTGCATGTGCTTTTTTTTTTTTTTTTTTTTTTTTTTTTTTTTTTTTTTTTTTTTTGTGTGTGCTTGTCATGTAATCACAGCCAAGGCAGTTATTTTGAGAGCTGAGCCATGATTATGACCGTGCTGCCTCTCCGTTTAAATGAAGTAACATTATGGGGCAAGGCAAAGGAATATGTCCTATTGACTTTGAAAATAGCGGCATGAAAAATAAAAACATGGTGGCTGCCATTGCTGACCAGTCTTAAGAAGTTGCCTAGCTGTCATACTAACCATTTTGCTTTTGATATATTGAGTCGCTGATCCAGAACAAATGTACAGCAGAGGACTAATAACTTTTATACTTCTACTCCTGATCTTTCTACTAGTTATGGGTCAGACTGAAAGTACTGATGCCAGTAGCTGGGCACTTGGCATTTTCAGCATATCAGCCATTTCATCCCCAAACCGGCCTGATGCTTCAAATGAGTATTCCTTAGAGGGTGATGAGGCAGCTGGCATGTTTTTTTTTGTAGAGCCTCGAGATTTAGGGCTATAAAGTTCCTCAGGTGGTGATCTTATCAGATTTCCACACTAAAGCCCTGTGGCCATCACCTGTTCACGACTGGCAGAGGCAGTGCATGCCAGTATCCAGTGGAAACATTTGAATGAAGGTGTCCCATACTTGTGATTGTAGTTCCTAGTGTATTCATTGGCTACATAATGGTTCAGACCACAAAATTGCTATTTCTGTTGTGTTTCGTGCAGCAAGTACATTTCCGTTCTAAACTGTTTATTTTGAAAAATGCTAGCACAAGAATTGCAGAATAAAATGCCTTGTAATCCTCGGAACAGCAGTGTGCAACCCAGAACAACACAGGGTGTCACAACTCGACTCTAATGCCTGTGCCCCCCATGTTTTTAATCTGTTCATCCATGCATTTATCAATGGCCTCTTTCTGCCTCCTGTATGACTTCCCTCAAATGCTTTTCAGTTACCAACTTCCTAAGAAAACTTACTGCAGAGAGGAGGCGGCACACAGGCTCTCCAAGGCTGCAATGTTTGGTCTTGTGTTCCTGACCACTGTTCTCTCGGAGGATTGAGATGAGACATTTAATTCTGGTATCCTTGTGAATGCAGATCTTTAGTCCGCTCAGTACACTTCATGCATTAGTAGTGCAGACGGTTTAGTTTCATTATTGAGTCCACAGTTGTGACTAGCCCTACAGTTTTCTGGCACTGATGTTTCCAATCTAGGATCTTAACTGGAGTTTGCCATGGGAGTCACTGAATAGGCAGCACCGATGTCAGAAACTGGTAGGGATAGCCATAACTGTGGAAACAAAAGAACACACGATTGGGCGCTCTACTGGCTCATTAAGTGTAGTGGACATTTTGAGAAAATGTGAATTTGCAAGGATACCAGATTAAGATGTCTTGTCACAATCCTCGGAGACCAGTGGTTTAGAATACAGGACCAAACTGGCTTGACTCCAGTGGCTTTGCCCTCCATGCCTTTATTCTGGTTATCTTCGCATCCATCCATGGCTCCTTTTCTGCATGGCTTCCTCCAAATGCTTACTAGTTGCTGCCTAAATGATCCCGCTAAGAGAGGTAGAGTATTACTGGCTCCTCAAGGCTACCGTGTCTGTTCCTGTGTGCCTGACCACTGTTCTCTGTAGGAATTGTAATTGGGCATGTCATTCTGGGATCCTTGTGCATGCATATTCTATTTCATCCATTGTCACCACACTTGATGCATTAGCAGTGTGTCTGATCTCTTGTTATTTCTTTTTAGCACATATTACAGCAAAGTATGAATTGAAGTAGTTTATTTTCATATTCATAAACACTAAATTACCTTAGGGTACAGTACATTTGATGGTTTCAAGGGCTGTTTCTTTATCTGTCTATTTTACATGTTGCTTGAACGTGTTTTTATACAAGGCGCAGTGTTTTCTTGCTGTATGAGAGATGTGAAGTTGGTACTGTATTTTATAAAGTTGTAATATATTTGCTTCCCAACCAATCTGAAATAAAGAGATTTTTTTATTCAGAATGAAGTCTTT